TTGTGTTTTATTCGCTTTGCGATAATCTGTACTTATTACTGAAGCATGGGTTGATGAAGCTGGATTTGATTCTGCTGAATTTGTTTCAGTCTCCTTAGCATATTCTTGTCCTACAGACTCTAATGTAAAAATTTAATATACATTGAAACATATATATGTATATGTATATGTATAGTATATATATATATATATATATATATAATATATATATATGCAAGTCGAAAAATAAAAACATAACGTAAATATAAATCTTTTTTAATACGTTTCGAGCTATTCTGCTAGCTCATCATTCAGCAAACCAGTTTTATAAATTATTAGACATACCAAAATTATTTTATACAAAATTTGACAATTAAAACATAAATAATATAAACAAATGACCACTGCGGCTGACTTAGCAGTACTCCATTCGATCCACCCAATTTTTGAGCACATTTTCGATTGTTTCGGGCATTATCTCAGAAATAGCAGCTTGAATTTCGGTCTTGAGGTCTTGAATTGTTTCTGGATCGTTGGCATAACCGCTCCCCAAAGATAATAATCCAATAGCGTCAAATCGCAGCTTCTTGGTGGCCAATTCACATCAGTCACTCGTGGGTGCAGTGGCTTTCTCTACGATGACGTGCGGGTTTTCTGTGCCCCAGATGCGACAATTTTGCTTATTAACAAAACCACCGAGGTGGAAATGAGCTTTAACTTATGTAGGGTAGAGCGGGGCAAGTTGAGCAATCGAAATATCTCGAAAACTATTCACCGCCCGTTTAGGCATTATATGGCGGAAAGATAGAGGTTTGGGAGAAATAAACATCCCGCGATCGCTAGTGGCCGCTGGACAAATAAGTGAGGCTTACGGGCGTTTTGTTTATTTTTAGACCAAAAAGTAAAAAAGTAATTCATCACGAGTTTTCGTCTGGTTTAGTCAAATGTTATTTATTTTTAATCAGGTAAATGGCATTCTTCCATATATTTATAGTACTTTTAATATGCACAGAGATTCTGGGTATAATTCTCACGTTTTTTTTTTATAAACTCACTTTTATTGTGAAATTCCGAGTTGGGGTTAGTTGAGCATAGTGGCTAAACTTGTTCTGTCACTAAGACAATTACCATTAACTTCCAAAAATTAATTATTATTTTTAAGATTTAAGCTAACTCTATGAGTAATAATATAAAAATAAAAATACTGAATATAATGGTAAAATAATTCCGAAGATACGATATTGTTTTGTTGATTATACTTTTCGTTAGTCATTTAAAGCAAATTATTATAAGTTTTGTTTTCTCTGTCAATAAAGACTATAAATATAGAACTGGTTATTAAAAACTTATTTTATTTCATCACTAATCGACATTGAACCTATGATTTCATTATACTTTCTTAGTGCTCAACTTGCCCCACCTATGGGGTACATCGAGCATACTTGACTTTTTGCATTTAAACAGCTGTAGCTTTTAAATTTTACATATTACCAAAAAATAGTATTAACACTTTGTTAAGCGATAAACAACAAATCCATTGAGCCGTATAGCAATTTATTGAGACTTTTCATTGAGGAGCTACATCGTTTAAGTAAAAATTCGCTTAACTAGCCCCGCCCTACCCTACTGGCAGTTGAAGTTGCTCAACTGCCAGTACATAAGTTAATAAATAAAAACATCACAAAGTGGAACAGCACTTACCACATGCTTTAAAGACTGCTAAAACAACGACCAGTAATTTCATCTGTTCTCAATGATCGCTCTGTGACAAATTGCTGAGCATGAATGGGCGATAATAGGAATGCTGGTAGTGATTTTGAGCCCTTTTGAAATAAGTACCAGCTTGCTCTTGCTTTTCTTTCAAATTATAATTGGCCAAGCTAGAATGATGAAAAAGACTTACTACATTTCCAGCTTTCTTTACAATATCATGAATATTACCCCCCCTATCTGTAAGAAAAGCATCCGGGCATCCGTGCCTACAGATGATTTAGTTAATAATGAACTCCGCCGCCACGTCTGCTGATTGATTTGATATCGCCTCTGCTTCCACCCATTTCGTGAGGTAATCAATAGCGACTATTATGTACCTATTTCTTTTAAGACTTAACGGAAAAGGCCCTAAAAATCCATCCCTAAAATTGAACGGGTTTCCCACTGGTATTGGATTTAGTAATCCGGCGGGAGCTTGCTTTAGAGATTTCTTTGTTTATGATCTTACGTAATTGATAGTATCTTTCTTCATGTTATCCCAAAAATATTTCTTATGTAATCTACCGTATGTTTTTGCTATTCCTAGATGAGCGCCTGATAGCGGATCATCGTGATACGCGTGTAGAAGTTCTTTCTGTAAAGCTTTCGGGATAACCGGCAGTTTATTCGGAGTATTAGCACCCAAATCTTTACGATATAATGTGTTATCTACAATAACAAAACTTCGAGATTTTCTTTTTAATTCTACCGAAACCGCTTCCGGGTTTTCTAACGCCTGGAATATACGGTTAAGCACCGGATTTTTTAATTGCAAAGCACCCAACGTTTCTGAAAACTGTAACTGGAATACGCGGGATTTGCTTGGTCGCTTATTGGATACCTAGATAGCACGTCGGCGTCGGCATGTAATCAACCATTTTTATGTTTTATGTCGTAGTCAAATTCTTGCAATTTTATTGCCCAACGCGCCAGTTTACCCGCGGGGTCTTTATTTTTCTGTAACCAACAAAGCGCGTGATGGTCCGTAATTATTGTAAAGTGCTTCCGCCAAATGAAAGGTCTAAATTACTTAATGGCCCAAACTATCGCGAGGCATTCTTTTTCGGACGTGTTATATTTTCTTTCCCTTTCTAGTAACTTTTGTGAAGCGTATGCTATCGAATTCTCGCCTCTCTCTGTGCATTGAACAAGTACAGCTCCTAAGCCTATGTCGCATGCGTCCACATGTAAATGAATTTTAGCCGAATCATTAAAGTGTTCTAAAACCGGTCGTGAGGTTAAAATCTGTTTCAGTTTATTAAAGGCCGTATCTACGCTTTCGTCCCATTCGAACTTCGTATCCTTTCGAGTTAGGTTTGTCAAAGGTTCAGCAATCTTCGCGAAATCTCTTATAAACTTTCGATAAAAATTAGCTAATCCTATGAATACTCGAACGTCCTTTACGCGTTTCGGTGTTGGAAAATCTACTACTGCCAGGATTTTATCGGGGTCAGGCGAGATGCCCGTTTGTGCTACCACGTGACCTAAGATTTTGATTTCCGAAAAGCCTATCGTACATTTCTCCGGTTTTAGTTTAAGTCCCGCGTCGCGAATTCTGCTTAACACCGCCTTTAATCGCTCGTTATGCGCCGACAGATTAGGCGCCTTAATAATAATGTGATCTAAATATACTAAGCAACTATTCCACTTTAAAACTGCCAACACCCGATCCATGTACCTCTGAAACGTTGCCGGACTATTACTCAGCCCGAATGGCATAACGTTAAATTCCCAGAGTCCGTCGCCCGTTATAAAAGCCGTTTTCTCGCGATTGCCTTCCCGCACCGGTATCTGTCAATATCCGCTTTTCAAATCTAATGTTGAGAAGTACTCCGACCCGTTTAATGATGTCAAAATCTCGTCGATTAGCGGTAAGGGATATTTATCTTGCTTTGTCACCTTGTTCAATTTTCGATAATCTACGCAAAAACGCCACTCCCCTGTCTTTTTCTTAACTAACACTACCGGACTGGCCCACGGGCCTTTATACTCGCGAATTACCTTCGCTTCAAGAATTAGACTTCGCCGTCTGTTCTTGAAGCTTATTTCCGCGTTGGTCAATCGGTTAAAATCGTTTCCTAAGATAATAGCTGAATTTGGAGTGTCGATTACAAAAAGTTTGAAATTTAAATACGCGTTTTCATTAAAATTTATTAATATTACTGTGGTGCCTAAAATTCGAACAGGATTGTTAAATCCGAAACTCACAGCCCTACTCGCTTCTAATGGTTTGATAAATTTCTTGTTAATGAATTGTGATCCCGCGACAGATGTCATAGCCCCCGAGTCGATAAGGACTTCTGTTTGTATTTTATTGACCTCTAGTATAATGTACGTCGCTTCTAAAACAGCCGGTTCAGCCTTATTCGGTGACTCTCGCGGTATTTTTACTTCCGCTAATAGCGGCGTATTTGCGGCTGGCGTGCCCGAAAATTCTGAGAGTCGGTTCTGGCACCCTGCGTGTTATTAAATAATTCAGGACAGAATCTTTGATAGTGCCCCGTTCGATTACAATTATGGCAGACAATTCGACCCGTCATCGTCCTATCGTTTCGAAATTGTCCCCTATTCGGTCTATCGCGACTAGTTCTGAAATGCGTAGGGTCTCCGAAACTGTGCGAGCTTTGGTTGACTTGTAACGATTTAATCGTATCCGATAAAGATTCTATGGTATGGCGTAAAGCGCCTAATTCTTGCTCACCCTTATCTAAATCATACACGCACCTATATGCATCGGCCCGTGTATAATATACTTAAATGAAAACGACGATGTTGTCTTAGCCATGTATTTTAAACAACTATATTTTACATAATAATAAAAAATAAAATCAAAAACTCAAAATGGCGGGTCAAAAGCCCCCCTACCAGATTTTGGTTATTTCTAAAGCACACCGTTAGATGGCGACATAATTAATTATATTTTATCCATATTCCCGCCCGATGCGTATGCATCCATCATTACAACAATTTGTAAAGTTTATTAAAGAATACAACCCGAAGATATATTAAGATATAACCTATGAATTGTGAAAAGAAATGACATGACATATAACCTAGACAATATAATAATATGTGACATGAGTTCTTAAACCTAGTATGCATGAATAATAAAGATATTAATATAATATAACATGATAACGGTATAAGGTTCAAAATTGTAAATGAATATGGACTTATGGATAACTAAATCTAACATGATATACTAAAAGATTTCTAAATGGAAATTTTAATCCTAAGGATAAGTATCATAAATTTTTTAATTCCTATTACTAAATATTTTGTAGTTCTGATAGATAGGCCTTTGACCACAAAAGCCAAAACCGATCTCGCATTGCTGTGATTTGCTTGTGTATGCTTAATCTATTGGTAATAACTTTGTCATTTATTGGTTCAGGGATGGCAGTCATAAGGTCTCCAATTAAAAAATGACTGGGACTTAAATATATAGTATCGGTACTGTCATCGCTTAAAGAGATTAATGGTCTGGAATTTAGTATGACTTCCACCTGTATTAATAAAGTCAAATATTCTTCATAGGTCAAACATGTGGATCCTATAACTCTATGTAAGTAATGTTTCATAGATTTGATATTACTTTCCCAGAGGCCTCCAAAGTGTGGAGCATGGGAAGGTATAAATTTCCATGTGATACCCATATTTGCTACACATTCAATAATGTTTTTTCTGTTGATTTCTAGTTTAAAAAATTTATACAGTTCATTTAATTGTCTACTAGCTCCAACAAAGTTTGTTCCATTGTCACTATGGATTGTAGAACATACACCTCTGCGTGAAACAAAACGCTTTAATGGAGCCAAAAATGATTTTGTTGAGAGCTCTGTAACCAAATCCAAATGTATAGCTTTTGTTGTCATACATATGTAGATGACAATATATGCTTTAGTTTTAGGAGCCTTTCTTAAACGACTAGATCGTATTAGAACAGGTCCTGCATAATCAATTCCAACTGACAAAAATGGTCGTTGACGTATAACCCTATCTCTGGGTAACGATCCCATTAATTGTTGTGATTGCTCAGCTCGAAATCTTTTGCATTTGATGCATTCTCTAATGATACCCTTAATTTGATTTCTTGCATTTATTGGCCAGTATTTTCTTCTTATGTTCATCAATACTGCCTGAGTACCTGCATGAAGTAAACGTTCATGTTCTTGTTTTATTATTAAATATGTAATCCGATGTCCTTTAGGTAATATTATCGGATGTTTATGTGAAAATGTAAGATCTGACTGGTCTATTCTACCACCCACTCTCAATATTCCTTCAGAATCAATAAATGGGTATAAACCTTTTAATTCTGAACTTGTGTTCAATCCTGTGTACTTATTACTTTCTAATTCATGAATAATTTTATTAAACTCTTCTCTTTGTGCTAATTTGATTATCGCATTGTGAGCATAATCTAATTCTCTGGTGCTCAAAGTTAATGTATCTTTATTATGACGATATTTTAATTTTAAGTTAAATCTCAAACAGTATGCAATAACTCTAATTAATTTATTAAAACTTGAATATTTTGAGTATATGTTTTCTGATTTTATATTGGGCTGGTTTATTTGCAGCACTTTTAGTTCTGGCATATCTTCTACTGGCACTTCTTCATACTTATTGGTGGGCCATTCTGAATTTGATAACAACCATGTTGGACCAAACCACCATAATCTATTATCAATTATTTCCTGAGGAGTGGCTCCTCTCGAAACTATGTCTGCTGCGTTGTCCTGTGAAGATACATGACTCCATATTATTCCGGATGTTGTTTCCTGAATCTCTTGCACTCTGTTGCTAACAAACATTTTTAGCTTGCTGGGATCAGTTTTTAACCATCCCAAAACAATGGTTGAATCACTCCACATGAACGTTTTGTGAAAATGTATATTGATTACCTTACTTATGTGCTTATAAAGCCTAGCTAATAGTAGTGCTGCACATAGTTCTAGTCGTGGCAGAGTCACATTCTTGATTGGTGCTACTTTTGATTTGGCAGTTAATAGCCTTGATGATATAGAATTATTGTTATATATTGCCCGAATATAGATGCATGCTCCATATGCTGCCATTGATGCATCAGCGAATCCATGGCACTCAATTTGTTTTATTGGTTCTTGGTTGAACATATACCGTTGAATCTTTATTTCTTTTAGAAGAGTGAACTGATTTTGAAGGGTTTTCCACTCTTCTTTAATTGTTGCTGGAACTTCTTCATCCCAATCAGTCTTCTGTTTCCATATCTTTTGCATTATCATCTTCGCCTTGACTACGACTGGGGCTATAAGTCCCATTGGGTCGAAGATTTGGGATATGGCTGATAAAATGGCTCTTTTTGTGAAAGTTCTTTGGAATGCTGATGGAATTGTTGCCTTAAAAATGTCTTCTGTCGGGTTCCATAATAACCCCAATGCTTTAATTATTCCAGTTTTATCAATGAAGCACGTATTTTCTAATTCTTGATTTTCTTGTGCAATTGTGTTTAAAAATTCTTGATTATTGCTGGACCACTTGTGTAGAGAAAATCCTCCGCGGCCAAGCATTGTCACAAGTTGATCAGATTTAATATGAAGATCTGCTATGGAGTTTGCTCCTGTTATTATATCGTCTACATAGCAGTCTTGTTTAATAATATCTGCTGCTACTGGTGTACTGCTTTCTTCATCCTCTGCTAATTTATTCAAAACACGAATTGCTAAATAGGGTGCGGAAGATGTGCCATAGGTTACTGTTGTTAATTTATAACAACGAATGTCTTCCTTTGGGTCACGTCTCCACAAAATCCTTTGCACTTCTTGATCTTTTTTAGCAACTTTTATTTGCCTGTACATTTTTGTAATATCTGTTATAAAAACATACTTCCAGCATCGAAATCTAATTAGTATTGATATTAATTCTTGCTGTAGCTTAGGTCCTGTATGTAAGATGTCATTTAATGATATATTATTAGATGTTTTAGCCGAAGCATCAAATACTACCCGCAACTTGGTTGTACCATATTCTTTTATAACGGGGTGATGTGGAAGATAATAAACTGGATTTTCTTGAGTTGAATGTTGTATCACTGTGGTTTCTTGCGCATGGCCTTACCGAATATACTCTTCCATAAACTCTGCATATTTATTCAAAAGGTTTTTATCTGATTTAAAGCGTCTTTCCAGGTTTAACAGGCGTGACTTGGCTAGATGGAATGATTCTCCAAGTTCTGACTTTCTATTTTCAATAAATGGTAGACTCACCTCATATCTTCCATTTTCATGTCGGTGAACTGTCTTTAAAAAGTGGTCTTCACAGATTTTGTCCGAACCCTGCATTGGAGGACTGCTGTCTATTTCTTCGATTTGCCAAAACTTTGTTATTTCGCAATTTAATTGATCATTGGAAATGAATCCTACATAACTCGGTTGCATCGATGGCTCCTTATATGGTCCTGAAAGCATCCATCCAAGCTTGCTGTTTTTCAACATGGGAAGTTTATAGCCTAGTTTTATACTACCTTGCTGTATGATTTCAAAGAATAATTCTGCTCCTATTAGTACGTCAACTGGCCCAGGATTTGAAAATGAAGGGTCCGCTAATTTTGTTATTTGGAATTTTCCAGTCACTTACATCAATTTTTCGTGCAGGTAAATTTGTTGTAATTTTATCTATTATAATACAGTTTATTGATCTGCTATATGAGCTATTAATTGAATTTATCTTGATTTTAGTTGATTTAGATACTCCTAGTGACTTGCCCTGTAGTACACTCAGAGTGTTTCGGGAATTAAATTGTGGGAGCTGCAGTCTTTCTGCTAAATCTTTTGTGACCAGGTTGGTCTGTGAGCCACTATCCAATAGTGCTCTTGCTTCACAAAGCTCCCCTCGAGTGTTTTCAATGTTGATGATTGCAGTGGCTAACAAAACGCTTATGGAATTGGACTCTTGTGAAAATAGTACCTTTTGCGTAGCTTCACTTCACTATCATTATATACATGCATCATTGTGTGGTGTTTCTTCTGGCATATTTTGCAATTCTGACTGAATTTACATACATCTGGTGAATGAGCAGGTTCTAAACATTTCTCGCAATGGTGATTAAGTTTTAAAATTTCCTGTCTTTGTGTTATTGGTAGTTTCTTAAATTTGAAGCAATTATATACACGATGTCCTTTTAATTTACAATATACACATGGTTTGTGCTGATTATCTTGAGACACTATATTTACAGATTTGATTTTAACCCCGGAATGTTCTATCTTTCCAGTCTTGGTTGCTGTTTCCAACGCACATGATCTGGTTTCAAGAAATTTATAAAATTTGTTTAATGTAGGTAGCTCTCCTTCTTGTTGTGATAGACTCCAAGCTAAACGAGTATGGTGATCTAATTTATTTGTGAGCTGAAAAACTAAAATTATGTCCCAGTAAACTGCATCTTGGTGAATTGTTACTAGTGACTGCGTCTGTTGCCTCGCTTGGTTCAAAAATGATCGTAGATTTTCATGTGAACCTCGTAGTATAGGTTTTATGTCATTTAGAGATTGTAGATGTGATGTAATTATTAAGTATTTATTGTTGTATCTATCTTGCAGTAAATTATATGCCGTGTTGTAATTTTCATTGGTCATAGAAAGATTTGATATTAAGTCAGATGCTGGTGATTGTAATGTCCCTTTTAAATAATGAAGTTTTTGAACGTCTGACAATTGCTCGTTGTTGTGTATAAGTGAATTGTAAATATCTATGAATGCATTCCATTCCGAATAATTTCCATTGAACTTTGGTAAATTTATGTCTGGAAGTTTGATGTTAACTTGCCTATGTTTTAAATCTATATTTGGTTTGTTTTCGTTAATGCTACTTTCTAAGATATCTTCAATTTGAGCTGACAATTCAAAATGTAAATCAAATAACTCCTCATACTCTTTTGAGTAAGTTCCTGGACATCTAACATCTAATTCAGTTTGATTTTCTTCTAAACTTTGAAGAATCTCAACTAGTTTCTTTTTTCTGAGGATTAAGCCATGTTTGCTATCTCCTTCTCGAAAGTTATTAATAAAATTCTGAATAAGCGCGATAGATTTTATCAATCGAGCCCTTTGTTGTTTGAGCGTCTCAATGTCCGCCATTTTAAATTTTACAAGAAACGCACGTGTAAAATATACGATAGTTTATATATAAATTTGCTACCGCAATTTGTTTAAATCCGTAGTTTTGTATGTAATGGAAAATTATATTGATATATAATAGGAATATGCTCCTAATTCCTATCCCGATTTATTAAATAACCACAATGACAAAGTATACCGTACATAGACTAAACCTTACAAACAATTATACTAAGCAATTTTGAAATGGTTTTAGACTAATTGTGGACTTACTTGTATTTCCAATTGTGATCTTTAGTTGTAGTTGTTCCAATTCCAGTGAACTCCAGGCGACGCTTCCAAGCTTTAATGGCGGCTTCTCAGGTTCCCGGGTTTTCATTCACGTAGAGCTTTGTTTGGCTTTATTTTTTGACGAACTCGCGTATATTAAATTGTAAAGTGTGGACTGTAATTTTTAATCACTGGATCCGGTTCGAAGGACCAAAATGTATAATATACTTAAATGAAAACGACGATGTTGTCTTAGCCATGTATTTTAAACAACTATATTTTACATAATAATAAAAAATAAAATCAAAAACTCAAAATGGCGGGTCAAAAGCCCCCTACCAGATTTTGGTTATTTCTAAAGCACACCGTTAGATGGCGACATAATTAATTATATTTTATCCAGCCCGCAATAGCGACGATGTGAATAGCTGTAACGACTCGTGTGAAAACTGCGCGGCTTGTATAATTAACGATCGCGGACGTAACCCTCTAGTTATGTACCTTATAATGCTCATTTCGCTCATGTTATGATCTACTCTATCGCATAAATCAGTCATTTCCAGGATATAGCTTTGCAAATCTTCCCCGTCCTGCCTAACCCGTGATTCTAATAACAGTTGCGCCTTTCCTGACTCCCATGCCCCGGAAATGCCAGTTCGAGATCTAATTTGCATGACTCCCAATCGCGCAATGCATTCTTTCTCAATTGATTCACATACCACGTGCGCGGCGCGCCCTCAAGGTGTTGTAAAAAAGTCGACTCTATCCCTATCTGACCATCTATTTATTTTCGCCGCTTGTTTATATTCTATTAAAAATTCTGAAACTGCACCCTTACCCCCAAACTTTCCACAATGAAAGACCGGGTATCTAGCAACCCCGACGTGACTCGACGCGTTACTCGCGCCCGCAGAAATTTCGACCCCCGTGTCGCTCGTTCCTACATCAGCTCGCGGTTGGTTTCCGTCGCTGTTCGAATTTTCGTCGCTATTACGTGCAGCTTGACGAGTTACAACACGATTGTTCATGTTGCTGGTAGACGGCATACTTCTTATAAACTAACTATAATTGCTTTCTTACACTTTATAACTTCAAAATGAAATAAACCGAGAGCAACCCTCAAAATCACAAAAATATCTCAAACGACGAAAAACGATAAAAAAAGGCATACAATTGTACAGGATAAAAATGTAAGTCTGGATTGTTTTGCTTAAACTTTTACGGTATTGATATCAATAATATCAAAGGTTCTATAATATTATCACTTACCCTAGTCTTAATTTATAATCCTCTTAATTTAATGATTTCTATTCCTTATTCACTAACTTCTAACTTATTTAATATACGATACCTTAAACTTAATTGTACCTAATCACGTGTTCATGGGCACCACTAAACTTAGCACTATTATCCTTTGAATATTCTAGTTTATAACCGGGTCTTAAACTTAACGGTGTCTGATTATTATTTGCTTACTTTTAATTTACATCAACTGCGCGCGCACACCAAATTGTATTTACCGCATGCTCTTGAACACCACTGTTATTTATTTTCATTATTATTATTATTTAAAAAAAACACACACAAAAAAAATCAAATAAACACTCTAATTTATTATTTCAAATTTAATTGACCGACGTCGGAATATTGTTAATTTCTGCTTTATTCGATGAAAAAAATAACGACGTAATAAAACTCCACACGCATCTGCTGGCACCAAACTCGACACGGGATTCACACAAATTTCTATAATACTGTATTTAATTTTCTTATTAGCATTTAATGATTTTTTTGCTATTATTATTTGTTATTATCCTATTTTGTTTAATATTATATTAACCTACTTATTTTCGGATCACTAACGTACATATGTAATTATTTCTCTATTTGCTCACGCGTGAACTTCGACTAATATGTATCTATCCTACATTTAACTTTCTTTTCCAGTTCATCCCCCTCTGTTCATTTCTTTTCTATTTCTTTCCATCTCGTGTCCTACGCCTAATCGTTCCTATTTGCGTATTTGTCGCTTCGGTACTTGCTATGCGTCTTTCCTATATCTTGTACACGCCCCTTTTCCCGAATAATAGTTCCGTCTCACATAGACCGTACGCGCTCGCAAATTTATCTAACTAAATATTACTACGTATCTATTAATTATCTCCTATTTTGCGATCATGATCTTACTAAATTATTACATCCCTTATTCCTTATTCCTATCTATCTTATCTATACTTAAATAAACATGTGACTGCCGTCTTGTTGCGCTAATGGAATAATTGCAAAATAACATAACCGGTTGAATGAAAGGCACGAGAAATCTATGATTTTTTTTAAACTGAAGAAAATAAAATTTATTCGATGTTTCCTTACCGATCTTTTCTACCGCGAAAACTAAATATCAATCATTACGTACGATGAACAAATACTCTAACAATAATTTAAAAAAAAATTAGTAATAAAAACAGCATCAA